AAAAGGAAGCGGGGGGAGGGCAAATTACTCCAAACCGGCACCTCCGTGCCTGAAACGTCTTTCCTCTTTTCTGACCGTCCGCTAGATGACAGCAGCGAAACCAGAGTGAAACAGCCAGTAATGGGCTGGTGGAGAAAACGATTTTATCCCTACTGCTAAACCCTCAGAGAGCCTTTCAGTTAAGAAACTCGCATTACTGGCTGGTTTCCTGGAAATTACAGAGCCCTTTGCTTTTAGGCTTCCCGCCTACAGGCCTCAATAATTTACAAAAATACGTCTCTGCATTGTATGCAATGCACTTGAAGCAAATGTACTTGGGCTGGAAAAAACAGTTAAGTATTGTTGTTCTGATGCAAATAATTACTTCATAATGTCAGCTATTAGTCTTGTAAAATGCTCCCAAGTTCTTACTTTCATAAGCTGAAGGGACCTGATCTTTCAGACAAGAACACTCGTCTACACTGAAACTGCAGCAAGCCAGGAGACTTGAGTTCCCCTGTATATTTACAGCAGTGTTCAATCTTGTAATAGGGATACTAATTTTATGCCAATGCATTAAAACGCTGCCTCACTTTTGCTGTTGGCTGCTTACCAGATTAAAGAAGTAAGCTGTTGTAGCTTGGTTCTTCGAATCAGTTATGGTACAAGCTAGACTAGGGTCCAAGGAGTTACAGCACGAACAGGAGTCAAACATGGACTAGGTGAGCCAGGAAGGAATTAAATGCAGTTATCTTACTGTCACACTGCACTTGAAGATGAATCCACCTTGACCTGAGTTAAAGCACTGCAAAGCTGCTGTAAGTAGGGCACACGCCAGAATTCAGAGGGGGCAATACACACCCTCTACGTTGGTCCGATTCCTGATGGATTCCAAAGCATTTTTTGTGTGAAGAGAGGTAGATCTAGGATAACCCCAGATCTCCAGCTTTCATGCATCTGTAAGATTCTCTTGTGTGAGTGAGGGAGATCCCCATCTCAACAGTATTCTTAGCCCCTTGCCCTAATATAGAGCACTGTACAAAGGGTTTGCAGCACTCACAGTGTTTTTCAGAAAAAGAAGTAACTTAAGTTTTTCTCTCTCTGTTCACTCACTTTTTGTCATTTTAGCTCATGTTTTCATTGTCCTGAATTATTCAGAGATGTATAAACTTAATTGTCTGAGTGCTCTTAAATTGTAAATTTTGGTCCTTTCATTTACAAAGACCCATTTTCACAGCATGGCTATATCACTTTCATCTTTTTAAGGTGTATTCTAATTCCACTTTATACTCTAGTACTCCACCAATTTTGCTCCAGTTTTTGATGCATCAGATTAAAAAAATATTGGCCTTCCATCTTCTGGGGTGACAGAGATGCTACATGTTTAAAGAACTTGACACACAGATGAAGAAACCCTGTCTCAGGTCTCAGGGAATTCTTTTGATAGAAGCTCAGTGGTCTATTTTTTGTTTTTCTTCTCTGAAAAACTATGGAGAAACATTTATGCATTTAGGCTAGCTTTTTACTAAGTGCTGCATCATTGCAGCAATGCATTTAGTCACTAAGTAATGTGTGAATTTTTGTTTTAGAATTCTTTGGGATATCTTGAATGCCGCTTTATCATACTTTTCTATATTCCAGTAATACCTATCATAAAAAGATGAGCAGGATGGTAGGTGTTTATTAGAACAAATAGTCATATTATATGTACCATGCCACACACATACTGACCCAAATCACTAATCCAAAGAAGGTGGCACTGAGAAAAGTAGCATATTTATAGTTTTATTTCTTAATTATACCCATAAGGAGACATTCTGCCATGCTCAGAGTATTTGTCTCTTTTCACGATCAATTCCTTATGCTGCACAGGAACATTGTAAAATAGTGATGTCAAACAAATTGTATTTGTGACAAAAAATTGGAATTCAAATAAAACAAGGGAGGGGAATAGCTTAATAAAAATATTTATTGAAAACATTCCCATCAACATCATTTGGCTGTACTAAGTAAGCAAAATGCTGAGTGTGACTATGGTAATCAGGATGCAAACAGCTAGTACCATGAGCAGGATGATTCGACAACATTTGGAATGCTTTTTTTCTCTCTCTTTCTTTTTTAACAAGGTATCGTACCCAGGAGTATAAATATCCCCCATCCAGAACTGTAGATCATTAGGATTTTCCTAAAAGAAAAATCAGAAAATTAACTCAGTTCCTCTCTGTTGCACATAAAGTCATTAGAACATAGCCAGAAGTATTTTGGCTATCATCAGATAGTGATTAATGAATTTAAGGCATCACAACACAAATGCAAGAAACTTTCACTTGAACATAGGTTGCACTACTTGCCAGATGCTGCAAATGTTCCACCGGGGAAAATTAAACCCACACTTTTCAGTCAGGAACCAAATGTAGGACACCAGCCATTGAAAGGTGATTAAAAAGCCCAGAAGAAACCATGTTGTCTTCTCAAGAAGACTTGTCGATTTATAAACACAGATCTGAGTCCCTTTCCAAAAAAGGGAACAGCAGAAAAAAACTCACAAAAGTTACCCTAAAAGTGATTTGTGCCAACCCACAGTGAGGCAGGATCCTGCACAATGTGGATGAAGCTGAGAAAATGTATATTATTTGATAACAGAATGATGTTATGAACAGTTATTAAAGTGGACATATAGTATTTAAGTGCCTCGTTTATAGTTCTTCCCTGTATAAACAGGGAAGCTGAGTTGCAGGGTGTTGCTGTTTAAGACTTTCTCTAGTCACATAGGTCATGTTGTGCAGAACTGAAATTCCTGGAGTCTAACCAGGTACGTAGACTTCTTTTCCTGATCAGACTCACATTAGTGTCATGTCCATACCAGAAAATGCATCCGTATTTACTTCTGGAATCCCCCCAAAAGAACCAAGTGGGCTGCGCAGTGGTTCATGCATGTACCTCACAGCTCATAGCAATTTACTTTGCTCAAACACAGCACAACAGTGTGTTACCTTTACGTGGCTGGCCAAGTTAGAGTGCAGCGAGTGCCTGTCATAGTCTTGCACAGTCCAGGAAGGGGTCTTTTTCTTCTCCTTCCATTTGTCATCCACCTGGATATCACTATACAAGGGGTTGCTTTTGATTGTGGATTTCAGGGTGATGGGTGTAATGTGTTTCCCGAGGGCTTTGTCTATCATTTCTTGGCTGACCTCATTCGAGTCTAAGCCTGGCAGCTCAGTGACATTTCTTTTTTCTCTCTGTAAGGCACAAGTTAGATCAGAAGTTGGCTTTCATCTTCATTTACCTATGACACATGTTCCCTTCCAGAGTTATCATTTGTAATACAACAGAATAATTTTTAAAATTCATGCAATCATTTTTCTTGTTCTGGCAAACATCTACCGTACAGTAAGGGAGCCTGACTGTTCACTCCAGGCAGATTTCTTCCTTCTGGGGAAAGCACGTGGGTACAATCTGAACAGTCAACTCTTTTGCAAATGTGAACTGGCATTATAATGCCTGCTGAAAGGAAGACTCTGCTTTAGCAAAAGAGTGCAGTGGAGCACTGCAGTAGAAGATGTCCCTGCTCACTGCAGGGGGGTTGGACTAGATGAGCTTTAAAGGTCCGTTCCAACCCACAATATTCCATGAATCTATGATTCTATGACTCTAAGATACAGTTCTGATGAAAGCCACAGGCATATGATGCAGAAGCAGAACTGTAAGGACAAAGCAGAATGAAGCACAGGTGCTACGGTGTGTAGCACTGCCTTGACTGGAGATGCATCTCTGACAGCAGGGGTGTGATTCGCAGTTCTGTCCACGCTGTTGAATGCTAGACCCATGTCAGGAAGTCAAAGAGGCCCTTCATTCAACTGAAGGAGAGTCCTTAATTTGGGCACTGTCAGAACTCAAAGGTAATTAAATATCTGAGCAGTCTCCCAGCAACAATTGTTAAATTGGACCTTTTAGAACAGGGGAGTGGAAAGGGAGGGGGAAGAACAACCCTGGTGGTATCACATTTTTGGAGAACTCACAAGATGCTGCTTAACACAGTACTAAGAGACTCTTCGGGAGCTGCTAAGATGGTAGTTACCATATTTTTCAATATGTAATTGCATGGAAGAATGCAACCAGACTCTCCAATTCAAGCTGTTCAACATTTTGGTTCACCACCACCTTCTGTCCCCAAGACTTTGAATTAATCTGTCACTGATCTGCAGTTCCAGAGGTGTGTCAGCTTCCTGGGAGACCTGCTTCTGGCACATCCTTTGCCTTATGCTAATACCTGTCCCGTGTCTCAGGACTGCTTCTACAGAACCATCACAGTGCAAATTCAGCTTTCCTCATTAGCAAACACCACTCACCCATTAGCACCTTTTTCCTTAGGAACTTTATGTTGAGACAAGGGGAGCCTTGGCCTGACCAGGTGACCCTGCTGCAGGCATGTTGGGAGGGGGGGCACACCCCAGCCCTCTCCCACCCTCAGAAATCACAAAGGTGTGGGCAGCACCCACTGCCAGACTCCCATAAAGTGCACGCATATCATAAACAGCCGATGAAGAGGCTGGGACCTGAGAAAATTCCTTCCCTGAAAAGATGTCTTTCCCAAGATTTTTCACTTCTATTGAGATCTCCAGAGGTTAAGGTGCCATGGGCTGGACAGACTTCAGCAGCTGAAGGGCTTGCTGCTGCTAGGGCCACTTCCTGCTCCTCCTTCCACCTTTCTGGTGGGAGCCCAGGGCATCCCACCTCCTCCTGCACACTGGCTCTGGGAGCTGCTCAGATCGCTCATCAGCCAGCGTGGGTCCCTTAGCTGATGGCAAACTGTTGGCTGCTTCTGCTTGAGTAATTTTCTGATGCCTTTGTGGGCTGGTGAATCCAGTTGCAGTGGAAGCCAGCTGCTACATGCCATCACCTACTTTATGCCTCAGTGCCTGTGCACACACATAGACATGTGTGAGTTGGTCTAGGGCAGGCAGGTGTAGAATGAAGTGGGAGGACTTGTTTCCTTCAGAAAGGAAAGGTGGAGAAGAGAAAACAACAGCCTTTGTCTAAGAAACCCTAGGAGGAAGCATCATACTGGCATTCTTATCACTCAATTGTGCACAAGTGACTAAGCATGTTTCTCATCAATAATTACCATTAGTAGGTGGGTGGATCCTCAGTGCCCTCCCAGTCCCTCTACTAGTTCATAATTTCCATATATCATTTCTTAGCCTTGACATATCCCCTGACAACATTACTCTTTGCATTGCAGTTACAGCTGGCACTGAAGCCCTCTGGGTTGTACTGGCCAGATTTCAGCTGAGCTGGTGTTTTTAATGGTTGTTTCTTTCTGACTGCATTTTATTTTATTTTATTTTATTTTATTTTACTTTATTT